GAATGCCACAAATTCTCCTAAATCACTCGTACGCACAACTTAAGAACAAATCTGTGCGTACGAACGGTTCTTGCATGAGGCCCATTGTTTCTGTATAAATCATACAAGTTTGCTTTGATTAGTCAAATCAAATCTTGTGATTGTGGTTCTGCTTTAATGTTTTTGGGATTAAATGCTCTGCAGGTGGTCGGACTGGTGACCAGGAAAGACTTGGCCAGATATCACCTGGGCAAACACGGACTGGAGGAGCTTCATTTGGCTCAGACGTAACACACACACACGCACACGCACACACCCTTATGGACTGAGACCACCTGATGCCTCAGAGAACAGAGGACACCTTCCAGGCCTCAGAGATCGGTTATTCTTCGGATAATTATCCCAGAGAATACCTGCTTCATGTGAAATCAGCTTGAATTGTTTCTGATTTGTAGTTTCCTCAAGACTTTTTAAATAGTTCCTTGTTTTTGTGTTTTGTTAAATTCTGTCTGCTTTTATTTGTCATTTGCTCATCCGTTTTTACAAACCATGCTGCAGTAATTTGTGTCCAAAAATAAAGACTAAATGTATGAAAGCAAATGGCAACTTCTTCAGCTGGCAGAAGAAACTCCTCTGTGTTAAACTTGATGAATATTTTTGACTGTAACCCAACGAACTACATGACAGGGACACTACTGACCGGTCCCCTCTGTAGCAGTTTACGTTGACTTGTTAAACAGGAATTTTGTTTACGTGAGACAAAAAGGTAATTTTTATTTGTTTAAAATTAAACCAGGCTCACTTATTTCTACTATAAGAAGCTTTTAGAGCTTAAACAAAACTCTCCTTCCTCATTTTTTCTGTTGAAGCACAAAATATATATATTTTTTTCCGTAGTTAAAATCACTGTTGTAATGTTATGAATGTGAGCCATTTTGAAGTGAGAGAATATTATTTATTAGTGTGTTTGATCACTTGTTTCAGGGGCTCATGTTTTATTTTTCTGGATTTATTTTTTTGACAGGAGATGATTTAAATATTTTCTTCTGGCTCTGTAGCTTCTGTGTCCACAGGATGTCTTTAGTTTACTGTCTGTAATAATTAGATGCTTAAATTTGCATGTCTTTATTTTAATTACCTCCAAAGATTTGCACTTCCTTCAGAATCCATGAGAAGTTTACAGAAGCTCCCCGGAAGCTCTATGATTGTGGATGTCTCCCAAAGGCACAAATATAATATTTCAAATGATTTAACGTTTGTTTGTTGACCTCACAACTCTTTAGTTGTCAGTATTATTATTTTCTGCACTAAATGCTACTTTGATTTTGTCACCTATGTGCTCTTATTGTACAGGATGTAAAAAAAGTTCTACTTACCGGTAACTCTATTTTATAACGACTGGATAAACCTTTTGTGAATGAATAAAATTGGAATCTGTCTATAGTAAAATGTATTTGTGTATATTTAAGCATTAAAATACANTTTTGAAATAACAATTGATAGATTATTGTGTTTATTTGAATAGATATGAATAAAAAATAGGTTAGCTGTGCAGTTTGATGCTTCTGTTGAAGTTTTTTTTGTTTGTTTTTAAATTTAGATCTCAAACAAGTCCTGCCTTAGATGTACGAATAAAAACTGATACTATCATTATCCCATCAATTACTCCAAATTAGGGCTGGGCGATATGGCGTAAAATCAATATAACGATATATTGAGCTGTTCACCTCGATAATGTTAAATGCACGATAACGCTTCTCGCCACCACAAAACAAGTACACGGTATAGTATAGTCATAATATACACTGTGTCCATGTTCTTAGTCAAAGTACACAGTTCAGAAGCATTATACAGAAATTTTAACCTGAACCATTTGGACCAAAGATTTGTAAGGAATCGTTTGATTTTAAACAGCTTTTCTGGAGTTTATATTTGTCATTTTAGTGTTTTTAATATATTTAATAAAAAAAAACATTTTTGGCAAGACTTGAGTCTTAACCTTCTTCATAACTTTTCAGTGCAAACACATTATG